ATATATATATATATATATATATATGAGGACAATGTCTAAGGTGTTAACGTCCATCCAAATCGGAAATGGACAGCCCATTTATTGATACAAGTTCTGGTCCCTTTCCAGCTATGCCAGTCGTGACCACAATTCTTTCTGTGCAAAATGCTGGTTTTGTAGGTACAGGCAGTGACATATTTTCATTTGTCAACATAGAAACGACATCTTGCATAGTGGGTCGATTGGCTGCATGTTCCTCCACGCAGAGTAGACCAACATGAATGCATCGCAACAGTTGATCACCATTACATGAATCACCTAGTGTTGGATCCATCAACTGCAACCCTGCACCTTCTTTCCATAATTCCCATGTCTGCAGAAGAAACGTACAGAAGTATATTGAGCAACTCAATTAAGAAAAAATTAGCTAGCCATAACTGTTATTGTTAATTTGTTCAACATACGTACGTAGCCTACTATATTGAGCATCCGATCATCATTGTAGAAGCTATTGTTTCTCCTCCCACTTATGATTTCAAGCATTAGCACTCCAAAACTATAGACGTCGGACTTTATTGAAAAAATACCTTTCATAGCATACTCGGGAGACATATAACCACTATAAAAGAAGGAAACACAAAATGTCTTTAGTACATCCACTAATCTAAATGCATGTTTAGAAAATTACCAACTAAAAGTGGAACATGTTATAATTAAGGATGTAATGTTAACTTACTATGTCCCCATAACCCTATTAGTATTTGCTTCTTCCTCGTTATGCACGAAAATCCTTGCCATACCAAAATCAGAAATTTTGGGATTCATGCTTTTGTCAAGCAGAATATTACTAGCTTTTAAATCTCTATGAATTATTCTTGTTCTCGAGTATTTGTGTAAGTACAGCAATCCTTGCGTGATCCCTTCAATTATACTAAAACGCTTCTTCCAATCTATCAGACCACCCCGCCTTGAATCTGTCCATTATAAAGTTAACAAAGTAAAAAGTTTGTTAGCAATCTATATATTTTGACGGTTAACCAAAAATATCAAATTGAGCGCTAAGAGTAAAGTAGTCTTGATTGCCAACCAAATAAAAAGTAGTCCAAGCTTTTGTTTGGCATGTACTCATATATCAGCATCCTCTCTTCACCATGGATGCAAAATCCAAAAAGCTGAACAAGGTTTGTATGTTGCAGTTCATAAATGAGTATCAATTCATTCTTAAACTCCAACGTTCCTTGTCTAGAACATTTTGAAAGCCTCTTCACAGCTATTTCTCGTCCCATCATCAATTTTCCCTGAATTGTTAATCCATAATATTTCTTAGTAATTGTCTCAAAAAGAAAAGAACTACGTAGTATATTTCTTGGCTATTCTATAATGTAAAACGTTACCTTATAAACAGGTCCAAAGCCCCCTTGTCCGAGCTTGTTTTCTTCTGAGAAGTTTCTCGTGGCAGCCAAGACAGATGCATAGCTAAATATGATCAAATCATGGATACTTATGTTTCCGTCATCATTTTGAAGCCCATTAACATGGTGAGTAGGTCTCTTACACGGGTGTATTCAATTGAGATTTTAAAAGACTATTTAGGGATAAAAAAGTCTAGTGGATTCAACGAGAATATAATGACTTATAGGATTTTATTTATGGATTTATATAATAAAGATTTTTTACTTAAGGATTTTCAAGATTTCTATAATAGGATTTATAAGATTTGAAAGGACCACATGGATTTTTTCTGGGTTCGACATAAGATTTTTTTAGAAGAAACATACCCGTAAAAATTAAAAGCTAATATTATTTCATTGTTTGTATGTCTTTCTCAATACAAAAATAAGAAATAAGGCTGTACCATATAGGTTTGCCAATTGCATGTGGGTAGAACCACATTCTAGCTCCAATTGCACAGGTTTGCCACGCTATCTGCACCCTCAATGCCAATCCACACATTTCCATGAACCCTATAGGACGAAAGGCTGTGCTGGGCATATATATATACCTTGCAATCATGGAGTTCCAAGATACATTATCTTTGCCATCCAAATTTTTGAATATGTAAAGCGCATCTTTGACATCCCCAAGATACATTATCTTTGCCTTCCAAGATACATTACCTAGTTGTAGTTCTTTCATTAAGTAGGTTTTGGCTCTGGTGACTTTTCAGGGTCCACTTTGCTTAAATTTATGAAGGGCATTCTTGATTATGAAACAACTGAGCAATACTTTTAAAGTGCTCTAAAAGATTTCTTAGTTGACTTCAACTTTTATGGCTTAGTTTGTGACTGTCGGTAGTGACTTGTTTATTGAGATGACAACCCTATCACTAATTGCTGGCAAAGAGCACTTCTGCCATGCCCAAGAGCTCCACTGCCTGTGCAAGCACTCAGAATACTTGCATAAGTAAAATCATCGGGTTTTGAAGAATACCTTATCTCACTGAAAAGCTGCACACACACATCAACCTGCCACTCTTGTGCAAACCTTGAAATAATGGATGTCCACACCACATTTCTCACAGGCATTTCATCAAACGCCCTATAGGCAGTCTGTAACTCACTGCATCTACCATAAAACTTACCAAAGATCTTCCAATATACACATTGGGAACAAACCCACTTCTTATTTCTATGCATGACGGAGAATCAACAGAGCTAGAATCAAACATGTCATCGAACAAAGTTGAGATTTTTATTGGTGAATTAGAATCACAAGATTTTATTATGCAACAGAGAGGGAGATGGGGATGGAAGGAAGGGCGTTGCTTACACCCAACAGCAAGTAGCTCTAGGTATTGGTGGTTTGGTCGTCAGGCCAGTGCACAACTGCTTGGGTGGAGGTCAAGGTGAGGAAGGAATGAATAAAAAAATTCCCATGTGAAAATCTGATGGGTTAAGGCAGGATTTGAGATAGGGTTTGGTATTTATACCTCTCACTAAAAAATCTCACAAATTCCGCATTTTAAAAAAGTCCTTCAAAATTAGCAAGTTTTTGAATACCATAAGACTTTTTGTTACTTGTTTAAAGTCTTGATTGAATACCACCAGATTTGGTAACCCTCTTTAAAAAATCCTAATAGTCTTAATGGAATACCACAAGACTTTTTAGATTATTCAAAAGTCTTAATTGAATACCACAAGACTTATTTATCCCAAAATAGTCTTTTAAAATCCCAATTGAATACACCCCCCTTAGATTTCACGAAGTCAAGCAATTCGTTCTGAATCTTTGCCCTGTTAGTCTTGCCTATTTGAATTCGTGTAGAAAGTTAAATTTCAATTATTGGGACAACGATGATCAAAGATTTGAAATTTTGGCTAACAAGTGCGCACATTATTCTCAAATCATTTACCTGACGAAAGTATAAGTTTTGTCCTTCTTAGTCGATAGCACAAGATGCAAAACCACACTTCCAGTAGAGCAGCAGTAACAGAAGTGCAAATCCAGAACCACTTACGTGTTGCATCTAGAGATGGTAAAAAAAATTAAGTAGCTATATAGTTAGTGAAAATATACATCTTCTAAAACGAGAAGCTCAATATATTAGAAAGGTTAGTACATAGCTACACCTACCGATCTTTTTGTGAGGGGGTGAATGTGGTGATTTTGGCTGGAAAACAAAACTAGTATTGGCAGTGAGGTCTTCAATGAACTCACAGTCCACACTCCAAAATTCGCATCGTGCATCCTTAGTCTGATTTAGAAATGATAAGTCGAATCCAAGGCAGTTACAATCTTGCCAACAATTGGCCTTACAGTCAATAGTATCGGTGCCAATCCAGCTGGCGGTTCTTGAAGCATTTGTACTACTAGAGTTGATGATCTTGAAGTAACCTTTTTTGATCTCAAAGTCATCACCAAATTTCCCAACACAATCACTTGGGCGGCCCCTTTTCACACACCCTCCAACAATGTTATATCCATCACAGTGCACTACGTCTATAATATCATCATCACCGTATGCCCCATAGTCAGAAAGATCCCCATCGGAGGATAGAACCCATTCTGGCTCAGGATCACTTGGATCATTTTTGCTCGTATAAGTTAGATAGTCTTCATTTTGATTTGAAACAATGTTAAAATTGTACCTCTTCTTCGACACATCAGGCAAAATAAATTCAAATCTCCCATCATAAAAGACCCCGCTGGTGCAATAAACCACGCCGTCTTTTTTCATTTTCAATTGGCGTCCATTGGGGTCCCAATCAAGGCTGAAAGGCCCTGGGGACAGCGAGTTATCCCCAGATCCACGCGATAAAACGGACCAAATGTGGCCATTTCTATGGTCAACACCCAATTTCATGCCTGGTAAGAATGTGTCTAGTGGATGATCAAAACTTTGCCAAAAAACCCGGATCATTGATCCATTGACAGAGCTCACTTCTTGCAGGACGAAGTTACCCGAATCCAAAAGTGTAGCCACAACACTAGTACTACTGTCATTAGTTTGTGGAGCAGTGGAAATGACAAAAGGATCGCCACCTTGGTGAGTAATTTTCAACGTGTTATTGGTGTCCAAGGTAAGAAGTGGGGAAGAGGAGGGTGAAATACTTGAGTCTGGGTTCGCAATCCATGCTTTGTTTGCATCACGTTTAATGCGCATGATAGAAAGAAAGCTGGAATCTGAGCCGTCGATAGTTCTTACAGTAAAATTCAAAGAGAACTTCCCTGATGATGAAACTAAGGAACTTATGGAATTGAAAGTGTCCCCTTGTTTCATTGTGTCTGTTGCATCGTGCCAAGTCCACCGGGATGCAAAAATGATCAACATAACGAAGCATTTCATCATCCAACCAGAAACCTTGAGAATAACCACAAGGCCACTGTCCAGATGATCAACTCTTCGGAGAAATATAAGAATCTTATCACTTAAATTTTCAAGGGTGGAAATAATATGTTCTAAAGCCACAAAATAAATCAGATTTTTAAAAAAGTCAATGAGCTCACAGGAGGGTTATTGGAGAGAGAGAGAGTTAAGTTTGAATGTACTATACTCCAATACCGAGGACAGCAAAGCTGGCTAGCTAGGAGGAGACCCCAAGCAACAACAGTAAGTAGTATGATCAGCATATCGGCTATGGATGTGCCAATGATTCATTCTGTTCGGTTTGTTTGTATCTACATTTTTAGTACAACCTTACCTTTGTTTGTTAATTAAACAAGTCTACCTAGTACTCAAGGTGAATTATTCCAATATATGCTCATTTCCTCAAACTTTGTCATTTGTTTTTTTTTTATGTAATGTGACACCGTATCAAATTGGCTATTTGACTCTCTTTAGGATATAGTGAAACAAGCATGGATGATGTCTTTGACCCGCGGTTAAAAATCATCGCTAAATGTTTGACACTGATATGAGTGATATGTCTATTCTGAGGTCCAAGGGCTGAACCAGGAAATTTTTAATGGGTGGGTTAGCTAAAATTTTTAGCTTAAAATCTAATATTTTTTTTTAAACAAAAAGAAGGAATCAAAAAATCAAAACTATAGCTTACACGTTTATGATCTACACGTGGATGCCAGTCATTGGTTTCAAATAACAAAAAACAAAATTAGAAAAGCCTTCCAAGAATCACATATAGGTTTTTTTCTTCAAAAACTCCCCAAAAGGAAGCAGACTTGTTGTTGTTGGCCAATATAGATATAGGTTTATCCTTCAAAAGCTACCTGGGCTATAACCCACCTTAGTCGTGGTTGTGGTTCCGCCCTTGCTGAGGTCGGTTTGATCGGTGAACCCCTTTAAGCTTCCTCCGTCAAGAGAGTGGGTGGCCTATTAATGGTATGTGAGTGAGTGATGGATCAATCATGAGAAATACCAAATAGTACCTTTCAGTGGGATGGGTGTATAGTGACGGTTTTTTTAAATCCTTTTCTTTCATACGAAAAGTTTGGCCGACCACAGCGGAACAGAAACAAAAGTTAGTTTTGCATTTCGTGGGCAAACAAGCGGCTACAAGAAGGGAGAAAAAAAGTGGCAAAGATATAAAATGAGAAAATAAATAAATAAATATAAAGTATAAGGTATATATTTAAGAGTGCTGCTAAATGAACTCTAAAATTAACTGAGTACACCATACTACCAAACTATTTATTGAATTACTAATTTACCCTAATATAAAATGACCAAAAAGAATATATTGAATTATGAACCCTAAACCCTAAACCCCAAACACCGTTGTCGTCTCCTCCACCGGACATAGCAACGCCTTCTTCATAACATGGTCTCCTCCACCGTCACACTAACACCGTCATCGCATTCGCTTCTCCACCGTTACAACAATGCTGTTGTCGTACCATTAGACTGGCGTTGTGGTCCTTTGACATTGGTAAATTTCATTTTGATTTTGTTATTATACTGTCTTGATTTGTTCTTCACTGCCCACAATGTTTTGTAACCTTTCTTTGGAAATTGGTTTTAATTTGTTCTTCAAAGGGAGCAATTTCTGGGTTGTTTAATATTGATGATTTGAAGAGATCCATGACCATGTGGGTATGCTACAGACTTGCTACAAACATCGAAAATGCCTTTATAGCTTTTTTGGTTTAGATCCAAATAATATGTTGAGGGGCCCATGAAAATTCCTTCATATAACTTGTGAAATCAAATAATAAGTTCAATGTGTGTGTCTATAAATTCATCAATACATTTATAAATATAAACATAGGGCACAAATTCATGTACAAAGAGAAATTTGGTTTAGGATTGGTATTAAGGTGTTGTGTGATATAGTGTATAGGTGTATCAAGGGTATTTTTGATAGTTAAATAGGGTGTACTTAGTTAATTTTATATTTTAATTAAAATATTATGGTGTACTTAGATCATAGGATGTACTCAGTTAATTTTAGGGTTCGTTTAGCGGCACTCATATTTAATTGATACTAGCCTCTCTGCATGCGCTTTCGCGCCTGCGAGAGGCTTTTTTCTAAAAAAATTTAAATTTATTTTAGAATTGAAAAAGATAATGGGTAGTTGTGTTCTATAAAAATAAGATCCATTATCTGATATTTCTCTTGACCAAAAAAACAAAAATATGTTATTTCTTTTAATATGAAAATGTGTGAATTTACAATATTATCCTCATTTAATTAATAATTTCAATTCTTAATGTTTGCATTAATCAATGGCATTTTCTGGTATTTTGAATGTTTCACCATTCTTTGCCTTTTGCTTTATATCTATACTAGCCTCTCCGCACGCGTTTCCCTACGAGAGGTTTGTTTGTTTTTTTTAATTTAAATTTATTTTAGAATTTAAAAAGATAATAGATAGTTGTGTTTCATAAAAATAGGATTCATTATCTGATTTTTCTTTTAATTTTAATTTTTTTAATATGAAAAAGTATGAATTTACCATATTATCCTCATTTAATTAATAATTTCAATTCTTAATCTTTGCATTAACCAAGGGCATTTTTTGGTATTTTGAATGTTTCACCATTCTCTGCTTTTTGCTTTATATATATACTAGCCTCTCTGCATGCGCTTCCGCGCCTGCGAGAGGCTTTTTTTTAAAAAAAAATTTAGAATTAAAAAAGATAATGAGTAGTTGTGTTCCATAAAAAGATGATCCATTATCTGATTTTTCTTTTAATTTTAAATTTTTTTAAATATGAAAAAGTGTGAATTTACCATATTATCCTCATTTAA